TGTGGCCAGGGCTGTGAGCCTTTGCTTGGCAGTCTCTAAGGCCTCAGGTATGGACAGTGAGTTGTATTTCTTAGGTACCCCGTTCTTCATAATGTCTTTCTGCAATTCTGATAGCTGGCTAACTTCTCTCCGTGCTGCCTTGTTCTTGGTCTCCAACCTCCTTCTCCATGGAGGATACTGCTCCTTATGGTTTTTGTTGAACTTATAGCCATGCATCTCCAGGATCACGGTTGCTGTGGTGTATATGAGCTTGTTGGTCTCAGTGATGGTCGTAGTAGGGATTGTTCTTAGTGCTGCATTCACATCATCTAGTAGACTTTCAGAAGGCACTTCACTTAGTCTTGGTAACCGGCCACGGGAGTTCCAGGTGTCCATCTTGCTCATGATCTTCAGTCTCAGGTCAGCAGCCCTTGCATCAAGCTCATCCAGGCCTGTTATTGGGGTTTGGTACCCAATCTCCAATTGTGGGGGTGGTGATGATGATGATGATATCTCCCCCCTGACCTGTTGTCCTGGCTCCCCCTTGCTGGAGCATTCGTGTTGTACCTTGTCAATCTCTAGTTGTGATAGCAGGTGCTTCTTGTAGATGTTATAGCACTGAGCTACTAGTTGCTTCGATGTTAGTGTAGATGTTGGTTTTTGAAGTATCCATAGGTCCCACATCCTCCGCATGTAACCCCTCTCACTGGTATTACTTGTGTAGTAGCATTCCAATAGTTCCCTGTTCTCCTCTCTTGTCCATGAATGTCATTTTCCAGTAGCCCACTTCTCTTGCCCTGGTTCGAACTCCCGACCTTCCGTACCAAAGTCACTGAGCTATCCTGTCTGATACACACACACACACACACACACACACACACACACACACACACACACACACACTGGCAAAATAACCTTTAACTAATATCAATATATTCAGCTCCCAAAGGTAGTAGTGTTAACATTTTTATTGTCCTCAATTAAAACCAAAAGTCAGATAAACATTAATACATATTTAGCATCAGTATATTTGCAGGTAGCTTTTGGCCAGATTCATCATGTTAATCAATGTGAAATAACTGTGTACACTTAGTACAAATGTAGATTAAGGCTGCACCCAATCAATGTATTAAAATCATTCTTGCATGATACCTTAGACACATATAATATTGTCTTAAACTGTATTATATTCTGTATTGTTAGCACATTCCACAGTAGGACAGTAAATTTGTAATACACTGGACAAAATTATAAACGCAACACTTTTGTGTTTGCCTCTCGTCCTGCAGCTACACCAGGTAAACTCAAGATCTACAGCTTGTTCTATGTACACAAAAGGCCTATTTCTCTCAAATATTGTTCACAAATCTGTCTAAATCTGTGTTAGTAAGCACTTCATTGCTGAGATAATCCATCCACCTCACA